TTCAGTTGAATTATTCTAATTCTAGGGCTACATTTCACAGCAAAAGTTACAATATTCATGTAAGATACTTAACCACAGATAATATCTTTATTCTTTGTCAATCTGAGGAGCAAGAAGAAGTTAATGCATTATTTTGATTTACAGTTCTATGAATGAGCATTTTCCACATGCTTATTGGCCATTTGTATTTCTTCTGTGATTGCCTTGTTCATATTCTTAGCTCTTCTTTCTTCTGGCATTTTTGTAAACAGCTTCACTGAGATATAATTCAGGTAAGATACAATTTACACATTTGAAGTGCACAATTCAATGGTCTGAATATTCACAGAATTATGCAACCATCACCACTTTTAGAACTTTTAGAACTTTTTCATTATCCCAAAAGGACACTTTGTACCCATTACCCATTACCACCACACCCTTGCCCCTCCCCACCAAATCTCTCAGCCCTAGGCATCCACTCATTAACCTACCTTCAGTCTCTATGGATTTGAATATAATGGTCTTTTCATTTAGATGGAATCATATAATGTGTGGTCTTTTGTGACTGGCTGCTTTCATGTAGCATATTTTCAAGGTTCAATCATGTTGGAGCATGTATCAGTACTTTAATTCTTTTTTATTGCCAAATGATATTCCATTGAATGGACATACCATCTTTTTATCCATCTAGTTGATAGACATTTGGATGTTTTCACATTTTGGCTATTATGAATAATATTATTTTGACCATTAGTATGAAAATTTTGCATGGATGTATGTTCTCATTTCACTTGGGTATATACCTAGGAATAGAAGTGCTGGGTCATATGGTAATCTATGTTTAACAGTTTCAGGAACTGCCAAACTGTTTTCAAAGTGACTGGACCATTTTATATCCCTGCCAATGTATGAAGGGTTCTGATTTTTCCAGTTTCTTCCTAACATTTGTTATTTTCCATTTTATTGGCTTATTACAGTCATCTTACAGGGTGTGAAGTATATCTCATTTTGGTTTTGATTTGTACTTCCATAATGATAAGCATCTTTTCATATGCTTGTTGCCCATCTGTATGTCTTCTCTCTATAAATATCTATTTGAGTAATTTGCCCATTTTTTAACTGGGTTGTCTTTTTGTTAAGTTGTAATAATTCTTTATATATTCTGGATACAAGTCTCTTTCTTATCAGACTATGATTTGCAACTATTTTCTCTCATCCTGAGTTGTCTTTTCACTTTGTTGATGGTGTCCTTTGAAGCACAAGTTTTTAATTTGCTGAAATCTAAGTTTTTCTTGTCTATTTTTTCTTTTGTCACTTGCGTACTTGGTGTCCTTTATAAAAAGACTTTGCCTAACTCAAGGCCACAAAGACTTATTCCTATGTTTTCTTCTAAGAGTTTTACAGTTACAGTTCTTGTATTTAGGTTTATGATCCATTGTGAGTTAATTTTTGTGTATGGTGTAAAGAAGGGGTTCAAATTGATTCTCTTAAATGTGGATATCCAGTTATTTCAGCACTATTTGTTGAAAAGGGCTCTTCTTCCCCACTGAATTGTCTTGGTATCCTTGTGAAAAGTTAAATGACATAAATGTAATGGTTTATTTTTTAGAATCTTATTTCTGTTCCATTGATTTAGTACCATGCTATCTTGTTAAGTGTAGTGTGTTTTTTCCTACACAATAGTACACAGCAGTAATAATACAACTCCTTTCAGGTTCCTGGACCAGATTCCAAGCAGTTCTCGAACAGGTGTTTGAGAACTCAACTCAGTTCTAATGTTTACTGCCGGGGGATAGAACCAGATTCCCTGGGTTAAGGGCTCCGTTCTACAAGACTGCCCTCCACCCCCGACTCCAGACGCTGGTCACAAGCCCCAGGCTACAGATTGGAAGTTCCATCTGTAGGTTTGATTAATTTGCTAGAGTGGCTCACAGAGCTCAGGGAAACATGGCTACCAGTTTAATATGGGATACCATAAAGGATACAAGTTAACAGCCAGATAAAGGATACACAGAGCAAGGTCCCAAATAAAGCAGCTTTATTCTTGTGGAACTTGGGGCCTGGCTTGGTAGCACATGGAAGCTTTCCAGTTCCCCAAGCATGGAAGCTCTCTGACAGAGAAGCAGGATTCAAAAGAAAGCACAATTCTCAGGGTTTTTTGTGACGGTTTCATTGCATAGTCATGATTGACTAAATCATTGGCCACTGGTTGATTCAACCTCCAGCCCCTGCCTTTGCATGGCGTCCAAAAGTCTCTGATTAACATGACAAGACACCCATTTCACCATTAAGGCTCTGAAGTGTTTTCAGGAACTGTGGGTCAAAACCAAACATACCCAGGAAATAGATATTTGGCCATCTAAATGACCAAATGTGTATTTCTTATAACTCATTATATTGCATGCAGCTTTGTAGTAAGTTTTGAAATTGGGAAATACGAGTTCTCCAACTTTGTTCTTTCTCATGATTGTTTTGGCTATGCTGGGTCCCTTGTATTTCCATATAAATTTCAGGGTGAGTTTGTCAATTTCTGCAACAGAGGCCAGCTGGAATATTAATAGGGGTTTTACTGAATTTGTAGATAAATTTGGGGAGTGTTATATCTTCATTTTAACTGGGTTGTCTTTTTGTTAAGTTGTAATAATTCTTTATATATTCTGAATACAAGTCTCTTTCTTATCAGACTATGATTTGCAACTATTTTCTCTCATCCTGAGTTGTCTTTTCACTTTGTTGATGGTGTCCTTTGAAGCACAAGTTTTTAATTTGCTGAAATCTAAGTTTTTCTTGTCTATTTTTTCTTTTGTCACTTGCGTACTTGGTGTCCTTTATAAAAAGACTTTGCCTAACTCAAGGCCACAAAGACTTATTCCTATGTTTTCTTCTAAGAGTTTTACAGTTACAGTTCTTGTATTTAGGTTTATGATCCATTGTGAGTTAATTTTTGTGTATGGTGTAAAGAAGGGGTTCAAATTGATTCTCTTAAATGTGGATATCCAGTTATTTCAGCACTATTTGTTGAAAAGGGCTCTTCTTCCCCACTGAATTGTCTTGGTATCCTTGTGAAAAGTTAAATGACATAAATGTAATGGTTTATTTTTTAGAATCTTATTTCTGTTCCATTGATTTAGTACCATGCTATCTTGTTAAGTGTAGTGTGTTTTTTCCTACACAATAGTACACAGCAGTAATAATACAACTCCTTTCAGGTTCCTGGACCAGATTCCAAGCAGTTCTCGAACAGGTGTTTGAGAACTCAACTCAGTTCTAATGTTTACTGCCGGGGGATAGAACCAGATTCCCTGGGTTAAGGGCTCCGTTCTACAAGACTGCCCTCCACCCCCGACTCCAGACGCTGGTCACAAGCCCCAGGCTACAGATTGGAAGTTCCATCTGTAGGTTTGATTAATTTGCTAGAGTGGCTCACAGAGCTCAGGGAAACATGGCTACCAGTTTAATATGGGATACCATAAAGGATACAAGTTAACAGCCAGATAAAGGATACACAGAGCAAGGTCCCAAATAAAGCAGCTTTATTCTTGTGGAACTTGGGGCCTGGCTTGGTAGCACATGGAAGCTTTCCAGTTCCCCAAGCATGGAAGCTCTCTGACAGAGAAGCAGGATTCAAAAGAAAGCACAATTCTCAGGGTTTTTTGTGACGGTTTCATTGCATAGTCATGATTGACTAAATCATTGGCCACTGGTTGATTCAACCTCCAGCCCCTGCCTTTGCATGGCGTCCAAAAGTCTCTGATTAACATGACAAGACACCCATTTCACCATTAAGGCTCTGAAGTGTTTTCAGGAACTGTGGGTCAAAACCAAACATACCCAGGAAATAGATATTTGGCCATCTAAATGACCAAATGTGTATTTCTTATAACTCATTATATTGCATGCAGCTTTGTAGTAAGTTTTGAAATTGGGCAATACGAGTTCTCCAACTTTGTTCTTTCTCATGATTGTTTTGGCTATGCTGGGTCCCTTGTATTTCCATATAAATTTCAGGGTGAGTTTGTCAATTTCTGCAACAGAGGCCAGCTGGAATATTAATAGGGGTTTTACTGAATTTGTAGATAAATTTGGGGAGTGTTATATCTTCAAAATATTATACCTTCCAACACATGAACATAGTATATCTTTTTATTTTAGGTCATCTTTAATTTCCTTCAACAATGTGTAATCTTCACAAATTTTACATTTATTTTGTTAAATTTATTCTAAATATTTATTCTTTTTGAGGATAGTATAAACTGAATTGTTATCCTTATTTCATGTTTGGATTGTTTGTTGCTAATGTACATAATTACAATTTTTACATATTGGTCTTGCATCCTAAAACTTGTTTTGTTTTTGTTTTTTTAAGATGAACTTGCTCATTTGTGCTGAACTTGATTTTTAGATCTAATAGTTTTTTAGGGCATTCCAGAGGATATTCTACATTTAAGATCATCACATTTGTAACAGAGATACTTTTCCTTTTTCTTTTTCCATCTAGATGCCTTTTTCTTTTTGTTGCTCAGTGATCCCATTTAGAACCACCAGCACAATGTTAAACAGACATGGCAAGAGTAGACATCCCTGTCTTGTTCCTGGACTCTGAGGAAATGCATTTAGTTTTTGACCATTAAATATGATATTATCTGTGGGTTTTTATTAGGCTGAGAGAGCACCTGCCTATTTCTAATTTGTTGAGTGTTTTTATCCTGAGAAGATGTTGGATTTGTTAATACAGATTTTGAATCTATTATGATGATCACAGGGTTTTTCTCCTTTGGACTACTGATATGGCACATTACATCGGTTAAGAGTGTTGAATGTTAAACCAACCTGCACCCTAGGAATAAGTCTCATTTGGTTATGGTGTACAATCTTTATTATATATCACTGCAACTAGTTTGCTGGTTTTTGTTCAGGACTTGTGGATTTATATTCATGAGATACTGGCTGGTAGTTTATTTTTATTGTGTGTCTTTGTCTGGAATAATTTAAGAGTCATTAATCTTTATATGTAGCAATTTTAGCAAAATACATTTAATGGAATGAAGGGTTATGGGACAGTATTTCAGGAAGGCACTTTGGCACACACAAAAGCACTGAAGCAGTAATTGGGAAGTTTTTGAGTAGAGGCTTCTGCTTCACTGAATGGGATCTGTGAGTCAGAAGGATGCAGAGTGTTAACACATGTTCAATAGTATTTAAAATCCAGTCACTTAAAAGACACAATCATTGCTTGAGTTTTCAATAAAAAGAATATGGCCAAAAAAATGTTTGAAACTTATGTTTCTGCTTTCATTTTTTATTTACTTATTTTTACATTTTTTTTCTTTAAAAGGAGTCTACAGGAGAGTTAAATGCTTTATATATGCCACTGCCTCTGCTTTTGCTTTTATTCTCTTTAAACCATATTTGAAATGTAAATCTCATCATATAATTCTCTAGTGCAAAATTCTTCAGAGTGTGGCCTGTGCCTACAATGTAATGAACTTCAAAACCTTTAGCCCTGATTAGAAGTCTTGCAGGACCTGGCTAGCTTCATCTGTCACTATTCTCACCAGATCTAAGCCACTCTGGGCTTTCAGTTGCATGAATGTACCAGGCTCTTGCCTCTTAATGGGCTTTTCCTTCATGACTTTCTCCCTCTAATATAGTCTTCTTCCTGTCCACTGCATTTGGCTAATTCTCTCTCATCTCTCAGGTTCCAACTTAGATGCTACATCTTCAGGAAGTACTATCTGACCTCCAAAATTTGGTTAAGTGCTCCTCTTCTGAGCAATCAGGAGCAACTGTAGGCCTTCAGTTACAGAACTATTTGTTTACCTGTCTGTTCCTTTGGGACACTGTAAGTTCTGTGAGGGCAGGAAATATGTCTACTTCAGTGCTTACAACAGTGACAGATACATAGGAACTCAAACTATATTAGATTAATAAGTGAATAAATGAATATACAATTCATCATAATCTGACCCCTTTTCTTTCCAGACTCATTTTCTGCCACTTGCTTCCTATGTCCAAACAAGCACACTTACACCACTGTAGCCATGCCAAATTATGTGTGGTTCTGTGAACATATTGAGCCCTCTCATACCTTCTCTGCCTTTGCGGTTACTGTTTCCTTTTATACAGAACAACCTAACTCACTTGAACACTCACTGAATTCCTATAAAAGTGTTAACTTTGCTTAGTTAATGCATGCTTACTGAAACCTTCCCTGACCCAACTTCTCTTCTCTCCAAACCCAGGCAAGTAAGGCCTCCCAAGCTCTGTATGTCTATTTGCATTATAAGTGTCTCACCGATGATCCTACCAATTCCTATGCTTAACACAGTATTTGGCATATAGTAAAAACTTAGAGCAGTTTTCTGAATGCAGAAGGAAATAAAAAAATAAGCATATGGGGAAAGGGGATATATTTAAATTAATCTGAAGGAGACCATAAATGTAGCATGGACTAGGGCTTGACTCTAGAAATTAAGAGAAAGGATCAAGAGAATGTTTTGGAAAGGTCAACGTCCCTGGTTAATAGACAAAATACACAGAGCAAAGGAAATGAAGAGAAGTATAAATCACGGATGACTTAGGTTTTAAGATCAGAGAATATGGTCAATAGTGGGGAAACTGGTCTTAACACTTACCAGCAGGTGCTTAACAAACATCTTTCTGTTGATCAAATTTAGTTTTATACAATGACAAAATATCTAGAAAAGACACCAGACAATGTGTCACACAGTGATTAATTGTAAATGGATGGGAGGAGTAAAATTAAGAAATAACCTTCCATGCAGCAATAATACATTTTAAACTTAACCTCCTCAAAAGGATGTTTTAAATAGGCCTCTCCATACTATATGATAAGGAAAGCACACATATGCATATGTACACTCCTCTAAAGGATTTCTTAAGAGATCTGGTACACAAAAAATGGAGTGAAGATGTCATCTTCAGGAAGTACTATCTGACCTCCAAAATTTGGTTAAGTGCTCCTCTTCTGAGCAATCAGGAGCAACTGTAGGCCTTCAGTTACAGAACTATTTGTTTACCTGTCTGTTCCTTTGGGACACTGTAAGTTCTGTGAGGGCAGGAAATATGTCTACTTCAGTGCTTACAACAGTGACAGATACATAGGAACTCAAACTATATTAGATTAATAAGTGAATAAATGAATATACAATTCATCATAATCTGACCCCTTTTCTTTCCAGACTCATTTTCTGCCACTTGCTTCCTATGTCCAAACAAGCACACTTACACCACTGTAGCCATGCCAAATTATGTGTGGTTCTGTGAACATATTGAGCCCTCTCATACCTTCTCTGCCTTTGCGGTTACTGTTTCCTTTTATACAGAACAACCTAACTCACTTGAACACTCACTGAATTCCTATAAAAGTGTTAACTTTGCTTAGTTAATGCATGCTTACTGAAACCTTCCCTGACCCAACTTCTCTTCTCTCCAAACCCAGGCAAGTAAGGCCTCCCAAGCTCTGTATGTCTATTTGCATTATAAGTGTCTCACCGATGATCCTACCAATTCCTATGCTTAACACAGTATTTGGCATATAGTAAAAACTTAGAGCAGTTTTCTGAATGCAGAAGGAAATAAAAAAATAAGCATATGGGGAAAGGGGATATATTTAAATTAATCTGAAGGAGACCATAAATGTAGCATGGACTAGGGCTTGACTCTAGAAATTAAGAGAAAGGATCAAGAGAATGTTTTGGAAAGGTCAACGTCCCTGGTTAATAGACAAAATACACAGAGCAAAGGAAATGAAGAGAAGTATAAATCACGGATGACTTAGGTTTTAAGATCAGAGAATATGGTCAATAGTGGGGAAACTGGTCTTAACACTTACCAGCAGGTGCTTAACAAACATCTTTCTGTTGATCAAATTTAGTTTTATACAATGACAAAATATCTAGAAAAGACACCAGACAATGTGTCACACAGTGATTAATTGTAAATGGATGGGAGGAGTAAAATTAAGAAATAACCTTCCATGCAGCAATAATACATTTTAAACTTAACCTCCTCAAAAGGATGTTTTAAATAGGCCTCTCCATACTATATGATAAGGAAAGCACACATATGCATATGTACACTCCTCTAAAGGATTTCTTAAGAGATCTGGTACACAAAAAATGGAGTGAAGATGACTAGGATAAAAGCAAAGTATAACAGAAATAAAATAAACTTCAAAATACCTGCATATAATACAGTCTCTATGAGATCTTTAATGTGAGCCCTGCTACTCTCTGAAGCAAGAAGAGGTGATGTCCCATTGGGAGCTGGAACAACAAGTGGCCCAACTAAAAATGCACATGCTCCACCAAGGTAACTGAGCATTGATGCAATGGCTGTGGCAGTGGCCCGTTCATCTGCAGAAAACCACGTTGTAGAGAGGAATGGAGCTGCATTCATTACAGTTGGACCTGCCAATCCATTTAACAGCTGTCCTCCATGGATTAGTCTGGAATTAAAAGAATTAAAAGTCTGTGAGGTGGTTGCAGCGGGCATTTTCTAGACAAAGAGAAGTTAGCCAAATAGCAGTTCAACTAGGCAACAAGTATACGTATCTAAAAAGAATACTGACACACCTGAAAGGTGAAGTATGTTCTCTCTATGAGGGGCAGCAAATATACTGTTACCCTATTCATTTCATAAATATTTAGCAAAGCCTCTGATTTGTGCCATGTACCAAACTGAGTACTTCCAATAACCTTGCTTCATTTGTTATAATGACACTATGTAGAGCTACTGTTATCCCCATTAGCTGAGATGTTAAAGACTTGGTTTAGGAAGACTAAGAAACTTGCCCAAGTAAGGGCTAACAGGCAAAGAGGAGATTCAAATCCAAGTCTGACTCCAAAATCCATACTCTTTCTAATATAGTTCCTAGTAAACAGACCTAGAAAGTGCCATCAGCCATACAAATTATACATTTAATGCCTACTCTGTGCCAGATGATGGACATACTAAAAGAAAATAGTCATTATGGTATCTTCTAATGGAAAAGGAATTGGTCAAGGAATGGGAAGACCTGGGTTCTGGCTCAGCTCTGCAACAAATTAGTTGAATGGTCCTGGGTAATATATCTTTGTGGGATGCCATTTCTTCTCTCAAAAAATGAGATTAATTCAATATTCATTTATTGAACATCTTTCAGGTTAAGGTACTGCAATCATAGGATCACCAGGTCCCTGCCAGTTCTAATACTCTATGACTTTAATTGCAAGGGTTGGTGAAGAGTAGTTTATTGCTTTCACTTCATTTGTTCTCTTGCTCATATTTTCTCAAATATTCTATTTAGTGCTCTATCCTGTACCTTTTTGGCCAAACCTTTTCCCCCCATTGCTTCCTCCACCTCATATACATATGCATTTACATTCAAGGGTACCCTTGAAGAAGAAAAAAAGTCAGAAGTTCAAAAAGCAAACAGGAAAGGGAGGCAAGTCGACCTCTTCTGCTTTGGAGGTAGAAGAAAGGGAAGGGACAGTATATGTGAATACATGATGCCACTCTCCTCCCTGCTTGCTCTGCTTTTTAATCACCATGTGAGGTGTCAAATCCTCTTTTTAACAACTGCCACCTTCAGCTACTTAGAAAAAGTTCTTTGAATGCAGAAGGAAATAAACAGGCATAAGGGAAGAGGCAGAGCCTCAATGCAGAAGCATAAGTGAGTAGGAAGTGAGATATGTGAATTAGGTCTGCTCAAATCTTTGTAAATGTTGGAAAAATCAGTTGAAGGCAAAATAGCTTTAAGCATCATTAATATTCCTAAATTAAGAAAACTGGAGACATTTAAAAATCTTTTTGTGAAAGGGGAACTATTTTCTGGATAACTAAAATAATTCAAACTGCTTATGAAACCAGATCTACTCCACAAGCCAGTGGGTCCCAAGCTGTCATACAGCAATTTCATCATAGAAATATTCTTGAAACAATATCATTAGGTGGTTTTATTCTTGACTGGGGATGGCCCAACAAGTGGACAGCGCACAATGGCTCATCAAGGTAACTGCTTTGATATTTAATACCTTTAATGAGGTGTTCCTGAAACATCTCATTTCATTTAGAAGGAGAAAGGCTGGAATGAATACATTTTATTATGCCTGAAAATGTTAAGAGTAGAGAGATGGAAGACCCATCTAACAACAAAACAAAACACTGATAAAACAGTATGAATCTGAGAGTTCAGGTATAAAACTCAGATTATTGCCATGGTTTAAATCTTTGTTACCTCTCAGTGGAATCATGAATAGACTATTTTCCAAGCAGCAATCATAAGAGCCACAGAACCTTGAGCTTGTGATAATGTACTCAACTCTCAGCTCAGACTGTTTCTCACTATAACATGATACACATGCCAACATAGTATCCATAGCAGGATATTTCAGATGAGCTCCAGGTCTAAAAAGTTACTGAACTTGGAGGGGTGGGGGGGTGGGGGGTTGGGGAGAACAAAAAACATGAAAAATCATCTTAGGAATTAAAACATGCAGATTGGTGTTTAAAAATTATTCTCATTTAAATAACTGTGCTTTTTGTATTAAAAGTCATCATATACAAACATATTCCTCACAAATGAGCTCAGTAAGAAAACAGGGACCCACAGGATCTTGGGGTAAACCTCTGAATTCATGGAGAACCTAGCAGGGAAAGCCAGATCTTGATCTTCCCAGTATCTTTAAGTTCTCCAGAACTTAGCCTTGCTCCCTCTCGGCTTATACCCAGAGTGCCTCAGGACTTGGCAGTTATTAACACAACAGGTTATAAGCACCATTGTCCTGGTAACCATGACATACATGACATAGCACTATCTGTAAAATCAAGATTTTAATGTTTGTTTGACACTGTTTTCTTTCACTTACTTCATGCTATTTTATGAAATTACTTTGTAAAAATATATTTAGAAATAAATATCCATTTTACATATAAAATTCAGTTTTCCCATTTCATGATAATAGAAAATTAGAGGTATGTTTTTCTGGAAAAATGTTGGTCATAAGACATCATAAAATCATACAAATACTATAATAAACTATTTAAAATGACAATAAAGGAGATGAAATAATTATTAATTGTTCAATACAAGCTGTGTTAACTCATTCGACAAAAATGTACTAAGTGTTCAGTGTGTGTTGGGTAAGCATTGCGACAGGCAGGAATATAAAATTAAAAGGCTAAGGCCCTTGCCTTTAAGAATCCCTAAGAATAGCTGAAGTTATCACCTACCAGCACTGTACCAGGAATATAAAGAAAAATAAGGCAATAATTATTCCAGTGCAGGTCCCTGCACGTCCTCCTTCTCTTCTGACCTCTGGCTCTGGTCTTCAGCATCACGGCATGTGTGCATGTGGACCTGAGGTCCAACTCCATTCAAGCTTCGAAGCTCCATCTACTGCCTTCCCAACAGCTGCCCCATAGCTACCTTTTGGGCCAAGGGAGTACACATCAGGGATGCAGTCCACTCTTGGAGGAACAGCCTTGGGAAAGAAGCCTGTTGCTGAGATTTGTGGAGTCTTGTGTATCTAGGAGGAGATGGACAAGGCGGGCACATCTCCTTGGGCCTACAGACTCCTCAGCCCACAGGGGATCGCAAAGCTGAAGGAAAGCCAGAGTGGGATACTTTCAGGCATGGAGTCCAGGACAGGACCTTTTGGCAGTACTGGCAAGGAGTGGGGATACAAAGGAAGGGATGGTTTGGAAAACTGTTCACAGCCATAAAATAGATATGGTAGGTGAATGACTGGATACTGGGGGAGGGAGGGGCCACCCATAACTGTAAAAATGTACAGTAAGGGGTTAAAAATCAGAAGCTAAGGAAAGAGATCTGAGCTAAAAGATACACATTGAGGGTGGGGGACAAGCACTGGAAAACACCAACTTTTTTTAACTAGGGGAAGAGGAATCTAGAACAACAATTGGGAAGGAGCAACTAGAGGGGCAGGAAAAAAACTGAAGAGGAAAGACTGGGGTCATAGGAACTAAGGAGAGAAGGGTTTTGAGAAGATGAGAGTGAGCAGGCAATAGTGTTAAATCAAACAGAAAAATGTTTTGGTAACTGAACTGTAACCACTGAATTCGGTAACAAGGAAGTCATTTGTGATCCAAGTAGAAGCCATTTCAGTAGAATGTTGAGGATGGAAGGCAGGCTTATAAGGAAATGGAAATTTGAATTAAAAATGTTTTCTTTTTATTCAACTTTTTAAAAATTGCAGTATAATTGAAATACATTATATTTATTTCAGATGTACAATGTAGTAATTTGGCAGGTATCTGAATTATTAAATGCTCACCCCAGTAAGTGTAGTTACTGCCTGTCAACATACAAAAATACTACAATGTTATTGACTATATTCCCTATGCTGTCCCTATGACTGATTTGTATTATAATTGCAATTTTGTGCCTCTTCATCCCCTTCACCTATTTCACCTTCATCCCTCATGGCAACCACCAGTTTTTTCTCTGTGTCTCCTAGTCTATTTGTTTTGTTTTTTAGATTCCACATATGAGTGAAATTATACAGTATTTGTCTTCCTCTGCCTGGCTTATTTCACTTAGCATAATGCCCTCTAGGTCCATGCATGGCAAATGGCAAGATTTCCTTATTTTTTATGGCTAATACTTCATTGTATATGTATACCACATATTATTTATCCATTCATCTATTGATGGACACTTAGGTTGCTTCCAAATCTTGGTTATTGTAAATAATGCATCAATAAACATAGGAGTGAGTATCTTTTAGAATCAGTGACTTTGTTTTCTTTGGGTAAATTCCCAGAAGTAGAATTACTGGGTCATATAGTATTTCTATTTTTAGTTTTTTGAGGAACCTCCATACTGCTCTAAACAGTGGCTGGACTAATTTATATTCCCACCAACAGTACAGGAGGGTTCCTTTTTACCCACATACTCACCAACACTTTTTATTTCTTGTCTTTTGGATAGTATCCATTCTGACTGGTGTGAAGTGATGGAAATTTGGGTTTAGACTATTCATTCTAGTAGTTAGAAAACAAATGCCAGAACAAAAATTAGGTATATAAACTTGGCAATGTGAAAGTAAAAAGTTGGGTGATTTTTACTTCACATATTGAAAGACAGATGCAACTTATTATGATTGTTCTAATGCTTTCTAAGCACTCAGAAATTAATACTTACTGATCTGGACTGACTTAAAAATACAG